TAATTACACTCTTATCTAGGAGGCACAATTTAAATGGATTGTATATATTTTTACAATAACAATCTGGAATAAAAACAAGCTAAATGAAATAAAAGTAACGACTTTCTACTTCGTGCCTTTTTTATTTATTTTTTTATTTTATTTATCCTTTATTTATTCAGGAAGATCTCTTGAGACTCTGTCTCATTTACAAGAGACCTGTTAAAAAAATGTAGGGAGTAGAAAGTACAGATAATTGTGTGAAAATGTAAGAAGTAGAAGTAAAAAGTAGGCTGCAAATAATTACTCAAGTAAAGTACAGATACCCAAAAATTCTACTCAAGTGCAGCAAAGAAGTATTTGTACTTAGTTACTTTACAACTCTGCCAAAGACAGAGGGATGAATGAGGTCAGCTGAGGGGGTAAACACACAGAGCAGGGCAGCTTGTGGTTCTGACCTGCTCGTTGTAGATGGAGCTGTATTTGGAGAGGTGTTTATCCTTGCACCCGGCCCAGCCCAACAGTATGACAACGGGCTCCTTTGTCCCCTGCCAGTGTCTCTCTGAAAACAAGACGGACGACACAACAGGGAGGGCGTTAGCAGGACATGCAGCCAGCTGAGACAGCCAAGCTTAAACAAGCAATAAATGCGTTATGGGGGGTATCGTGCACGTGCCGTGAAGTGAGGCGTGTACGATTTTTTACAATAAAAAAGTGCTCACCTGATGTGCCCGCATCTGGAAACACAATATTGTAATCAATTTCATCGGCTGACATGTTTAAATATTACAGTTCCGCTTGTCGCCCTATCATTTAGTCGTTAAAAAAACAATATTATAAATAGAAAACACTAAAACGAGGGAGAAATGACGGAATGTCTTTAGGTAACAAATGGCACGGCAGTGCTACAACACAAAATCGCTCCTGGCGACGGGAGCATCTCTTCTTCTCTGCGTGGTCAAGCAGTCTGCATCGAGCTGACCGCGTGAGGCCGCCCCCTAGCGGCCGGCCGTCACCATGGATGGTATGTTTTTGGTGGTTCAGTCAAAAATAAAATGTCTTATTGGTTCAATATTGTTGACGTTTTGAAGATTTAATTTTACATATTTTTTAAACAAACGCTAACATTTTGTTTATCACCTTCTATTGTTATCAGGACTGGTCACAAAATCGAATCAAGTAAATGCAATTATCCTAGAATATGTTGCATTTGTTATTGCACGAGTAGTTAAACCATGTTACAAATCTATCAGCTCAAAGAAACACAAAGATTAAATTAAAAGAAAAGTACAAACTTTGTGGAAAAAAAGTATAAACAATGCAGTACATTTAAGCCTACATGCAGTTGGCTTGCCGCGAGAAAAAATGACAAATTCTTTACAATCAACCTATTTTAACAAATAATAATAATAAAGCTCACAAAAAAAATTACATCTTTTTGAATATTAGTATATAATCAGTTAAAAAGTGGAGCGTCGGGCATGATAAACATAAATTTATTTTTCCAAAGTTTCTGAACAATACTTGATGGTAACGCAAAGTCAGACAATGAATACAGAATAATTGTGATGGAGCTTTTATTTACAAGAAACAAAACACAAACATTTTGCACGGTTTCCTGTAAAATGAGTTAACAGACTGGGATGCCTCTGCACTCTGATTTCTCTTGTTTTGATCATTATTAAGTTTAATTAATGAAGTAGGCTTTTGTACTAATTGTTTTAAAATTATTTGGTTTCTAAGAGAATACAAAATAAAAAACCTGTTCAGTTCAAAAAAAATAAGTGAACAGAAGTTCAATAAAATGTTCAATGAAATGATCAAATAAAGCAGAAGTCAGGTCCAATTTCCTATTAATATTAACTGAAAATTACTTTCGAAATCTTTAAATATTTTACAATTCTGTCGACTTAAAATTATGGAGCTCGTTCTGTTTAAATCTGTCCAAACACTGAAKTGTTTGATGTGGAAAAGTGTGGAAAAACTACTTTTTTTCACCCCACACCATTTCCATCTTCTGGACGTGAGCCTTGGATGATTTGGAGAAGGTGCTTTTGACCACATTGAGCGGTGCCGCTTTTCCACTGAGATAGATCTTATTGACGCAGTCGGGATGCCACGTCTGCTCCACCTCTCCTCCTGCCGCTCCAACCTCCTCCTTCTTGGTGAGAGCGCAGGAGAAGGCGAAGATATATCCCGTCATGTAGGCATCAAATCCAGCCCGGTGTGTTCCCGCGTCGGCCTTCGTCTTCCTCTGAGCGTCGTCAGACCTGTCAGCGGCTCCTGTTCTGCGGTCGTCGGCTGTTGTTTCAGAGTTTATGACATCCGTTTTGTCGCCACACATCCCATCTTCCTCGCTAGCCATTTTCATATCCTGCTCTTCGTCCTGTTTGCCGTTTCCATCAGTGTCCGTTTGAGACTCGGCAGCAGCTTCTTGTTGATCGCTCGATGTTTCTTCTTTGTCCACTTCCATGTTTTGCTTTTTGTTTGGAGGGACGTCTTCAACGACAGCGGACCCCTCCRTTGTCTCTCCTCTACCTCTTTTTTTCTCCTTCTGTCTCTTCCTTTTCTTTCTCTTGTCCTGACTGCATTTCTCATCCTGCAGGATGATGAGGTCCGTATTGTGGGACAGTGGACACTTGGTGCCATTTGGACACCAGCCAAACGCCTGTCAGGCAAACAGACAGAAACACAAAGACAGAGATCTTAACTAAAGCATTTGCAGCTCTTTGTGGGAGTAAATGTCATAATAGTGTTGGTTTTAAAATAAATGAACAAAACCTAAACCTAGACAACATCGTGCAAGTTTGGAATCAGTGGGCCTCATGCAAGAACATGTTCGTATTCTTATCCTAAATTTCTCTTACTTTTGTTCGTACGAAGGGTTCGTAYGAACATGTCACGTCAGATTCAACAAACTCTTCTATCTTCAGGAAAAGTGTGTAAATGAGCTGCGTAAATTCCACCTGTTCTATCCAGCTGCTCGTGCACGAGGAGAGGTTATTTACATAATTACCACCCCCAAAAACACTATATAAGGCTGTTTCCTGCCCCACATACCAGGAAGTGTCCACTCATAAATGACATTGCAAAGTAAAAAAGAACTTTGCGAGTTCAGAGATTGTAGTCCTGCTCTCAGAGATCGAGAAAAAAAAATCTGTTCTCTTTAGCAGCGTCATGTGGAATTAAAGGAGCTGCTTAAAGGAATGAAATGTGCTGTTAATGTCGTGTCTCCTGTGGGTCGTTACAGTCACAGAAATAAAAATATAAATCATATTCATCTCTCTCTAGTCCAGCTCCGGTTTTTCTTTGGTCAAATATTTTTAATTTAAGTGTAAACAACTGTGTTACTGTGTTTACATTTATTCAGAAGAAGGGTGGTTGCGCACCGCTAAATAAATAACGAAATATAAAGTTATTAGTGAAGAAAATCCGTCTGATAACAGCAGACTGACTCCTCGTAAAATWTACGACAGGTCTGGACCACTCGTAAATTTTGTTCGTATCTGAAAAAAATCTTAGAATACGAAAACATTGGTGAATGCCACAAATTCTCCTAAATCACTCGTACGCACAACTTAAGAACAAATCTGTGTGTACGAACGGTTCTTGCATGAGGCCCAATGTGGAGTGAAATTCAAATATGAAACTCACTGAGAAGCGCTCACAGACGTCAGATTGTTCCTCTGAGGACGTTACAGCCGGACATTCTCTGTAGTCCACGTAGGTGGACATGTGACCAGAATACTGACAAAACTCAACGTGGACATGAGGTCCTGTTGAGCCAGAGGCGACACAGCGATTGTTATCCAGCTTACTGGGAAAAAAAGAGAAAACTTACATAAAGTGATTCAAGAAAATCACACAAAAATAACCCTGGACCAAAATGATACCCAAATAGATGGGTGGGAAAAGGATTTATTATAAGGTCATATGATGAGTCAAACTGATGTTTATGCTGGTTGGTCTATTGAGGGTTTGCTGCAAACTTATTTTATTTTATTTTATTTATCCCCCCCCTCTATATATGTCATTTTGGTCTGTCATGTCTGGGTCTATAACTTAAATATGTATAAGTAAATATATGTATCTGTCTTGTTCTCTTGTTAAAATCAATCAGTCAATCAATCAATAAATAGATAAATAAATAAATAACCCTTTACAAAACAATACCTACCATTTCTTATAAGCATACTCCAGATAGGAAGCCGTCAGTCGGAGCTCAAACTCGGTCACATATTTGGTGTCATAAATGCCAGCAGGAAACATCTCAGACAGGTCAGCTGTGAAGGTGGCCAGGCGCTCAGGGAGATGAGCATAGAAACTCTTACAGGAAGAAATTATTAAATTTTAGATTAGAAAAAGTTATATAGTTCAAAAATGTGTTGAATGTGCTGTAAAGAGAGTTTATGCAAAAACCTAAAGCAAGTATTTATTCATGGGAAAACAATGCTGAACAATGTCCTAAAACTATATTTCCACTATTCAGTTAAGTTCAATTTTAGTCATGTGGGGAAAATATGTGAAAAAAAAAGAATGTCAGTATAACAATAGTATAACAATATACAGTGGGGAAAATAAGTATTTAGTCAGTCACCAATTGTGCAAGTTCTCCCACTTAAAAAGATGAGAGAGGCCTGTAATTGACACCATAGGTAGACCTCAACTATGAGAGACAAAATTTGAAAAAAATTTGAGAAAATCATTTTGCCTGATTTTTAAAGATTTTTTTTTTTTTTGCAAATAATGGTGG